TCCTCGACGATTCCTCGACGATTCCTCGACGATTCCTCGACGATTCCTCGACGATTCCTCGACGATTCCTCGACGATTCCTCGACGATTCCTCGAATTTCGAGTGATGGAAATTCTATCGAGATTTAATCGGGCCGGGTAAAGAAAAATTAAGAGACTCAGGGAAAAGTATTGGATCAGTGAATTTAATTTCACTGAAAAAATGATTTCACTGATTAAAATTCCGCGGTCCAATTATTATAATTACCGATCAATTTTCCTAAATTAATTCTCTCAGTAGAAGTCTTTCTTTAAAAATCCCTCAATATTTATTTGATCTTAATAATTATTGGTATTCCCGAATTATTGATGAAGAAATGAATAATTTATTCAAATTAATAACTTTTTTCCGTAGTGATTAAACAATTTTGATAAATTCTCTAATGACAACTTTAAATAGAAAAATCCGGGAAAAATTTTCGTAAAATTTGAAATCTAATCACCCCCAATTTTTCATAACATAAAGAGGCGCGTGGTTATAGAAATATTCTCAATTGGTGAAGCGTAAAAAATAATCGATTGTTAAAAAAAAATGGAGAACTGTTAAAGCAATTTCTCCGCTTCGTTCTGGGGCGTAATAATAACTCATTCATCGACATGGTACCACTTCCTTCCGTGCAAGAGAAATTGATTGTCTTGCCAGACCACAGACAAACCCCCGGGAGAAATGGAGAGGCTTTTCCACCCCTTTCCACCCCCTATCGTACCGATATTATCATAATTCAAGCTAGAAGAGTGGGGGGTATAAACGATGACGAAGAAAATGCAAAGCCCTGCACATATAAACCCTTTTTCCCCTGGCATTTTCTTCTCTGATTCATCGGGCCATTGGGACACTGTCGAAACGGATGAAAGGATACGGAAAATTTTTCGTCCGGGAATTTCGCATACACTATTCATGAATAACGAGGGTAAATCGATGGGCGGAGCAAATAATGATTCAATTGATGCCGTGAGTAATTCGTGTTTGCGCCTGATACGTATCAGTTTTTTTCTTTTTTTTTTTTTTACATTTTTCACTCGAGTACCGCCGACTCCGGGAAAATCGCTCGGAAAATTCTTTGCGTCTGAGAGTTCGAGGGCTGATACTTGAGAAAATGCTGGTTTATCTCCGATTTTACATCAGGAATATTGAAGGATCGTTGAGGGGTTGTAAAAACTCATAACATACTAGTTCAAATTTATCACTGAATTTTCCGGCCATTTTTCAGATGGAAATCTCTTTAAAAAATTCATTCATCCAATAAAATGAATAAAAAATCACAAAAAAATATTTCATTGAATAGACTATTCCGTGCGATTTCTCCGAAAATTTTCAGAAAGAATTCTACCTCTCGTGCCTCCATAAAACTCATTGTTTACAAAAGAAAATCTTGAAAAATCAGCAATTCAACAACTAAAAATGAAAAAAATAGCCAGGTTATACCACCCGAGAGGGAAAATCCCGTAAATCCCGAAAAACCCGAGCATTTCGACTAATTATACCTTAGAATAGATTCAGCGAGATCTTTTTCCGACAGAAAAAACGTGTGAGCGTGACGAAAAAAAAGGGGAAAAATAAAAGTAAAATCCCCCGGTGCGCCGGGAAAACGAGCGACGATGCGAGAAAACCGCGCCAGTTTATTTTTTTCCCTCATCCTTCTCCACCTGCCCCTCAACCCCCTCCACAATTTACCCTCTCCTTTTGCATGACGAAACACTCGTGCACACAATTCCAGAGGACGATTAATAATACTTGTTACAGGGCATGCACTCAAAGGCACTGCCTTCACACGAATTCTCACAATTTTTCAACATTTCTATTCCCCTCACCCCATCAACCCCCAAAGATGTATCTTTCTCTAATTCCTTCGCACTCCACAAATTCTTCTCTCGGATTCCCTTTTTATTTACTTTTTTTTTATTGTTGGTCAATGAAATTGTCTTGAAATCGATTTGACACTCTCGAAAGGAGAAAAAGCTTGTCTCGATTACTCTCCTCAAGTGATTGTAGACTGGACAATTTCTCTATCCTTGTTTGAACTTCCGGTTGGCCTCCGCGGCATTGCATGACGCGCCAAAAGTTTATCGTTCAACTCTCGTGGCCCCAGAATCGCGTCGTAATTAACGCTACAAACCTTCCATCCTCTTTCACCCCTATCTACCCCCCATCCACTCCCCATTCACCCCCCATTTACCCCCCTCCTCTCTAATGGTTTTGGTGGATTGTTTTGGTGGAGTGT